TGAGAGCGAGGGCCTCTCCAGTGTTAATGCACGGAACAGAATGTACGGAGTAGTGACTGTAAAGGGGAGCATGCGAGGGGTTGGAGTGTGGGAGGAGGGGGGGTTGCATCCATTACTATAATCGTTTTGCCTCACTTGGAAAGGTGGCTCTGTGGAAGGAAGAGTACCGAGACGAGAGTGAGAGACTTTTATTGTTTTCTCACACGGCCACAGACAACCTCTTAACATACGAACCATCGATCCAAAGCGCAAACGTCACGACCTGCTTGCAACCGACTGAATGAAACCAAACCCAATTCCACGCCAAAGCAATACGTTGATCCATGAAAACAATGAGGGATATCCTTCAAAGCGGGAGGCGGACGTCGTGGAATGCCCTGAGGGAATAACATTTAATGCAATAAGATCGCTGTGGCCAATCAGTCGCCACCAGCCGAGCCGGAGATGATGTCAGTCATCATTACTCATTGCTTAATGCTGTAGAGCGGGACGGAAATCAAGAGCAAACAAAGAGAGGAGCAACAAAAGTGGGTCGGAGTTAGGGAGGACACTGGATTAATCACGCTGAAAGCAGACAAGCACGCTTATGTGAATAATGGCACCAACACAAAGCGGAATTACACACGCGTGCGTCTCTTATGTTCCTAAAACACACGCTTCATCTGGCGCTCAAACACACATGTGAAGAAGCTTAGATCCATCGAGTCACTCTCACAAAAGGTACAGTGCACGCCACAAAAATGCATAACAGGCAAGCACCCTCAACACACACACACACACACACACACACACGTATGGCTCATTAGTAATGACCTACAGAAACTTGTTTTTCCATGCCGCAGGTCGAATACCGGTCGATTCTCCTCAGCGCCACATGACATTTCCCTTACATCTGCAATCAGCGTGTTGTGGTGCACCTTCAAGCCAAGGCCGTGTCTCTGGCGTACATACAGAAATGCATGTATACCTTGTTTGTAAAGTACACTCCCGGGTGAAGGTGTAGGTTGTATCAAGACAATGGACAAAATCCCTGAGTGGTAAAAAACATGCGCACACGCTGATTAGCTCCTATGGAGGAAGCCATTAGACGCCCCGTGTGATTGTCAGGCTCCACTCTAACATGCCAGGTCTGTAAGCAGACGGCGGTTATACGGAACATTAAAAAGAAGCTGCTGCACGAGTTCTTATCCTTGAATTGATTTCTCTTGTGTGGTTCTCAGATCCGAAAGAGTGACACTTCACTGAAATTCAATGACATCAGCGCTCGGCCGGGTCGTAGAGAGAGACTGAATGGTCATTGTGCCGTTTCACCACCCTGCAAAAAAAAGGTCTGCGCTACAGAGGGTCAGGTTTTGGATCTGGGCCACATAAGAGGTCACTTGGATGACGGATCTGTTTGTACGAATCTAATGTGAGGAAGATGAAACGCACCCTGTAGAGTGCCGATCTCTGCCAGTGAGGCTCCTCACTCACAAGGAAAGAGGAGTTGAATGTCACTCAGTCGTCCCTCGAGGAGGCTTTGTGGATCATAACAGCAGCGGATGAACTCCATCTGGAAATGCTCAACATGAGTCTGTGGTTTGCCAGATTAGCAGCGGACAGACAGACCGAACACATGATCTTCCCACAGGCTTTCCAATGAATATTAAGTCAAATTCATTTTGTTCAAGTGTACTACTTCAAAATAGCCTTTTCTTCTCTATTGTTAAGATTTTTCTGTGCATTCACAACATGCAGTCTCATTTCCACTCTTTTACTTCCATAGTCTTTTCTCAACCTCCTCTCCCTCCCCCCTCCTCCTCCTCGCTCTCTCGCTCTCTCTTCTGTTGAACTTGGCGACACCGCGCACGGTAATTAACTGATTGCTCGGTGTGCGCAGACAGCCACACGGTACGTGCGCGTCGGAGAGTTGTGTTCGTGGAGGGTGAGGCACGAAGTGAAGAGACAAAAGTGAAAGTGAGTGAGGGACTCAGAAAAGACAATGCAGAGAAAACGGGACGAATCAATGAAAGACCTTATTAAATGGCCGGTACAACAGCAGAAGACAATACGTTCATTACACAATGCAAGTTACGCCTCTTCCCTTTTTATTGCATTACTCTAATATTACCTCTTGTTCCCCTCCCTCCTTCCCTTTCGCTCTCGCTCCTTCGTTCCCGGGAAGCTGCCGTAGCAAAGTTGCCCGTCCCAGGTGATCCTTACGCGTGTGTGTCCACTGCCCTCCAAACCCAATTAAATTATACTAAAAGAGAATGGGGGCCGAGATCAAATAAAGCAGAGAGCAGCTTTTACAAGAAAATAGAGACGGGGGAATCCATGCTCACACTCACACACACACACACACAGATTAAGGACATTTGCTCAACCTGCTGAAAGCGCAGAGTGTAACAGGCTCCCTGCTGCAGGAAACCTCTGAAGTTCACAAGATCTTCTGACATTCAAATGGTGTTAATGGTAACAATGTAGCAGATCGCTGAATCCCCACAACTGGTGCACGGCAGTTTAATGTCAAAGCACAACTCAGTTTACCTCATATTGAGACGTCGCTCAAGGACTGATAGTCGCCGGCATTGTTGGACATCTGCACGCTCCAGTGAAGCTTTATTTTAAAGAGCACTGCTGGGTTAATTTGTAATTTGACATCTTTCAGATACTGTGAGCTGTTGCTGCAGGCTGCGCTGAGCCTAACGAAGAAAGTGGGTGGGAGTAATTTCAATCTCATATGAGGGGAAGAAAAAAAATCAATCTCTGCAAATTGATTGAATCCATATAAAGCTTTCAGATTTCCTGTGCAGGACATAAACACGTTAACTTTTTCTTTTGGCATCTAGACTTTGCAGCCTTGGGGCTTCATCTGAAAATAAAGTTGGCGTCAACCAGTAATGCGAGAAACTCGCATTACTGAGATGACTAAGATGCGACGCTTCCAGTCCAATAAGGTGGATTTCTGATTCCATTTTGTACAATAGAGGCAGGTCAAATAACACAAAGTGGCAGCAATAGCTTCAAAAACGTAAGGTAAAAATCAGTGTTTTTTGGAAAATCCCTCCGGCACTTTGTCAGTTGCATCATGATCATCATCATCACAAGTAACCACATTCTGAGCCGTGAGCTAACCTGTGCACCAACCCTGTACACACACACAGCTGAACCCCCCCCCGTTAACTGCTATTTTCCGACGTGCCGATCGGATGACGACGCAGCACGGCGTCATTGTTTGAGCTTCGAGACTGTCAGCGCTTCCATCTGCTCAGTTCTGAGGCTTTCTGCCCAAAGAAAGGCAACTGTCAAAAGTGAAAGGACAAAAGAGAGGGGAAGCAGAAAGTAGCAGGGAGTGTTGATGTGCAACTTCCATTCAGCAGGAGTGATGGGCGAAGAAAGGAGGAGACAGAAAGGAGAGAGGACACGGGGAGGAAAGGATGGAGGATGAATTCTTGTGAGTGAGAAAGAAAGTTATTTATATTTGTCAGACCACTTTATATTCCAACTTTGTATCTAATCATCTATTTTTTTCCTGCATTTGTTTCATCTAAACGTGTACCTTTTCTTTGTACTTTCTTGAAGATGGTCTTCATTCTACGCCATTCCTCGCCTCGAGTTAATTTAATAAACTAATTAGTCTGTACTTCAAAACATCTTTGTATAGTTGTGGGATAAGTCCCCGAGCTCACTGAGGTTCCTCGCAGCAGAATCCACTGTCGGTGAGTCAAATGCAACCGCAGACTGCTGGAGGGAGGTAAACAAAAAGATGTTTTGTAAACAGCAACTGGAACGAGACTCTGAAGACATTTCTCGTTGGGCTTAATGACTTTATTTTTTGAAAACTAATTACATTTATTTGTAGTATAATTCAAATTAGAACATAAATGCAGTATGTGCTTTGGTTTTGAGAATCTCTTCTCTGAAATACATCTCCAGAAAGACGCAGGATTGGTCACAGGAGAGTGTTAGGACAGAGGAAAGGATACAAGGGGACACCAGAGGAGTCAGAGATGGTTTCAATGAGACAAAGGACAGGGATTGGCTTCCTCCCCCTTCCCAGTGAGCGGCGCTATTCATACTACTCTCCCTCGTAGGGGAGAATGGAGCTTCCACACACAGCTGGCGAGATGGAGATAAAAGACTGACGGAGGAGCTTCAATAGGTGGAGACGGGGAAGAGGATGCAGAAAGGAGGAAGAGGACAGAGGGAGAGAGGAGAGTTGAGGGAGATCAGGGGGAAGGGTTAAAAAAAGCAGGGAATAGGATCAAAAGAGAAAACATGTGAGTGGAAGAAGTGAGGGTGAGGAGGAGAAATGGAGCCTATTATGTTTATTATCTATAGGCCACAGAAACACACAAGCCAAACCGCCAATAACACATCGCAACAGTCCAACTGAACTCTAATACTGACAAAACACTACACAGGAATCCAGCCTGATAAAACATCTAGTGAATGTTTTCCAGTCTGAGAATTATGTTATTTTTAACTTTGGCACTGAAAGCTGAACAAAATCTGACAAAAATAACAATCAGTGGGCTCCTCGGCGTCGGTAATTTAATAATGAAATATTAGTGTTATTATTGTCAGCTGTCCAATGTGGTTTTCACACCAAGGAAAAGATCCGTTTGTTTTGCCTTTCAGCTTTTCATTTGTTTGTCTTCACACGAGGAGCCGAGAGGTGGAAGCATGATGATGTATGGGTCGACAAGTACGACAAGTCTTTGGACAGTTTTGGCGAGTCCTCCTGCCTCATTAGCACTAAATGCAAGGTCTTATTCAGCGGGTAACAGAAGGTCACGCAGCGCTTTGCTCCGTCTGTACCCGGAGCTCGAGTGTCATTTAGAAGCCCACACTCCCGTAGTGAAATATTATCATTGAATAATCCCTCTGGGCTTCTTATCCAAGAACTGCTGGAAACAAACCATTGAGCTTTCGAGTGATCTGGGAGAATCCCAGCGACCGTGTGAACATCCCGCTCTCTCGGCGAGCGCGTCACGTGGGCGAGACCTCCGTCCTACCTGAAAGGCGGAGTAGGCGGAAGGTGCGGTTCCTGGTGCAAAGTCTGGATCCCTCCTCCTACGATAGGAGGGAAGCGCCGCGGGGGCCTGCGCCCTCCGTCCACGCTGTCCGTCCACGTCCGTCCGTCCACGTCCGTCCGTCTGCAGGCGCTGTCACCATTCCCTGCGAGGAGACACAGAGAGCGTTTCAACAGTGCTCCCGGCTGCATTGTGTTATTCTTCTTGTTGTGATTATTGCTCAATTATCACTGCATAATAAGCAAATCCCCCGCTGTGCAATTACAATCATCAGCTTAACCTTCAGCCAAGTGATTTTTGTCCCCAAATGATTTGCTCTCAGTTTTAATGGCTGTTGTGCTGAGCAGCAGCTTATGGAGAAAGAGTAAACTTATCCGTAACATTCTGACAACCTTCAACTCGGCCACTTTAAACACATTTAGAGCTTCCTGATCTTTTCAGTGCTCTAAAGTCAGCAAGAAAGTTTATTCATCCTCAAGAGAAATTGAAAGGTATATACGAAACCTGCACGTATGCGTGTGTTATTTGTGTGGTTGCATTCCGTGGTTTGCTGCTATAAAAACACCCTCCTCTTAAATGTCAATAGAGGCAACCTGTTAACCTTTGATGCACATCGATTGCCACAGCGGCCTTACTTGACGGATCAACGGAGCGATGTGTAAAGGCCGGTTCTCCCTCGCTCTCGCTCTCCCAGGGGCTGTCAGAACAAACACCCATGCTATTTATACACTGATGCCCCATCGGCATGGCAACCCCTCTTTGTTTATCCACATCCAGACAATGGTTTGAGGCATGTATCCTTCCTTTGAAAAAAAAAAATCAAAACACAGTTATTTGGAGGCTCTTTCAGGAACTTGGCTCGCTGTTCGGTGAGGACAATGTTTCCGTCTGACCAAATGCCTCCGGTTAAATGAGAGCTACTACGAGGGAAGGAAGGCTTCTACTAAAACTAGTGTATCTACTTAAATCTGTTGGTTTTCCAGTTGTTTGAGTTGTTTGTTACTTCAGTGCAAGTCACTCAATACCGAACGTCAGCTCAGAGCCTTCGTGGATCACCGAGGTGAGACGGGTGCTAACGCCTCCCAACTAAATAAATGTAGTAGAATGTGGCATGAGAAGTGCTGCGTGTGCGTAGCCAACACAGTCTTCTCGTTTACAGTAACCCTGGGGGCCGTTACCGTAGCGACCTGTTGACCCAAGGTCAAGAGGCGGGGCAACACAAAATCCCATTAGTTGATTGTGTGGCAGCGGACACACACACCGATACTAAAACACACTTCTGTGCTAAGTTAAGAAAAGTTAAATAAACGTGCATGCACACGGGCATGCGAAACCGCTATAACACTTTATATACACGTATAAATGATCACAATCACATACAAGCCCACACTAGAAACATTTGCACAACCAACAACACAAACACACACATTTCAAAAGACCACAGAAAGTATTGAGGTTCTATTTACACTTTGGCTTTCAAACATTTTACTGCAGTGGCTTCCTGTACCAGCAGTATAGATTTAACAACTCATTTAGTATAGTGAACATATGCAGCGTATACCCAACAGCACATGTGTGATCATCATGTGTGTGATTAGAAGAGGGGTTGAGCTTATGCAACATTACGATCGCTTCATTAATCACTGAGCTCACTGATCTAAAAAGCAAACCACAGGTTGTTAATGAATCAATAACTCACTTCTTGAAAAGGGTTTCAAATAGAAGGATTTAGGAAAAGACGGTTTTAGGAGAAGAAGTGAGCATTAACCTGGTAAAAAAAAGACAATAATACTCTACAAGTTAACTCGCCTACCTTCATTTCACTACATCAAGGATTTACTGTGTTTTGGAGTCTCCCTTTCGAGGCATGACAGAAAAACACGTTTTCTTTAAGAATTCAACTCAACACATGACGAGTAACTAAATAGAACGGCCCTCCTCCCTTGAATGAAGACCTATCTGTTAATTTCCGGGGATTAATCAATACAAGGAGATTTTTGTTATATGGGAAAGAGTGGTCTAAATGTGCACACACTTAAAAACACACACACACACACACGCACACACTTTTTTGCACCGACTCAGCAGCTCAGCAGCTCAGCAGTCAGTTCCCTCTCTGTCTCACAATGAGTTCAATAACAGTGCAGCCAGAGTGTGCGTTTGCGTGTGTGTGCATCGCCATGTGCACCTATCCAACCATGGCCTGCCCCCCTTTCAATCTGCTTTTCTATTGGTGCCCTGGTCTGTTGCCCCAGTGACGCAGGCAGGGTCGGACCCACATGCACGCACATTAAACACAGCCATTAAGTGTGTGTGATGAGGAACCGAGCAGTATCTCTTGCAGGATTACACACTGACATGTCTTGTCTGGCTAAACCAGAGACTCGGCTCTCTGTAGCTTATTATGACCTGTTCTTCACAACAGCCTTTTTTTTATTACAGTTTTGCCTCTACGTCGCCGTCACATGTCACGTCTAATCAGCTTCTGCCCCTGATCATTATTATTATTATCATTATCATTACAGAATGAACCCATGAGGAAAGGCAGTGGACAGAGTGCAGCAGAAGGCACTTGTCCTCAGAAGGGAATTCCACTGAAAGTGACTAATCGGCAAAAGGTACACTGCAACTGAAATGCGTCATAAGTGTTGACTTACTAAGACTGAGGAAAGTGCAGCGTTGCAACGCTGTTGTATTGCACTGCAGGGCACCGGGTTCACTGGTTGCGTGCAACAGCACCAGCCCCAAGCCGGTCAGCATTGGGCTGGTTAGTGGGAACACAAGCCCCACATGTGAGGCAAACCAAAGTCACGTAGGGGCAAAACGACCCCCCCCCCCTCTCAGATAGATGCAGTTTGTGTTGGAGGCGATCCATGAAGCAGACTACTGTGACCGTAGTAAAGCTGATTACACAGGAGCAATGTGCACATGTGAGCCAGAAATGGACCCGTGAGCCCGTCAGTGTGTCGTGAACGAGATTATTTACAAACCATCAGCACAAAGGCGCAGTCGCAAATATTCTCAGCGTATTTATTCATTCCGTGCCTAAACCAGTGGCTTCAGTTCAATTACACGTGTTCAAGCATAAGCACGGCCTTCTAATACTGTTTGTGAACTATTATGCAGGTTAAGCTCAATGAATTAAAGTGGCAAAAAGGCGCATACGAGAAAGGGAGAGAAAAGAGACTGACACACGATGAGACACGGAGACAGAAATGAACCACCTCTTGGTCTACGAAGCTCCATCCAGGTCAAAGTTCAGCCTGCCCTTTAAAAGCCGCCCGGAATGTGCCCGTTTTGTACCCGATGCTGAAGAACACAGACGTCTTCACCAGCATTCACGCAGCGCGCTCACACGCGGCCTCCACGGCTCGAGCAGACACCAACGCTGACACAAAGATGACAGGGACCAGCGTAGGAAGATGAAAGAAGAACCCTCCAGCTTCTTCATGAAGAATGCGCACAATGATCAAGCAATAACTACTGCAGATGTTTATATTACAAGTGCTCGCTTCCTCTCCGTCGGGCCTCCACAGGTGGGGGCTTTAATTAAGCATCTCCTCGTGTCATTAAACTTTTTATAGAACAACAACAGCTGTTTGCCATGATGTGATCATGTTACTTCACAGTGCAATTTAAAGTCAACTCGATAACGATATGCTGCAGTATTGAGAGGAAAGCTCTTAGTAGTAGAGACTGGCTTTCATCAGCGTGGATGTTTTCGGCGTCTACGCGCTTAAACCAGACGATTTGAACGTTGACTTCTCATCTCTTCTTTCCCTCTCGTTTCGTACGCACTCCTCATCTTTTCCCTCCTAAGGTCTCATACTCTTCCTTCCTTTCCCCCCCCTTACTCTCTAATACTAGCATTCTCCAAGGCAAAACACACACACACACACACACACACACACACACACACACACACACAGCTCAAGTGGAAGAGTAAAAAAACTTGAGCGACAAAGAACGGAATTCCTCCACATCGCGCGGTATTGACCTCTGAACGCACACGCGTGTGAGGAGTCAACGCGTGTGAGCGAGACGGTTGACAGAGAGCACCAAGCGCTGAACATCAAAGGACAAGCCCCCCCCCCCCCCCCCCCCCCCCCCCCAAAACCCCCCCAATCCACCCCCCAATCCACCCCGAAGGGAATTACTCAGCGTTCCTCGGTCGGGCAGCGTTAGCGCAGAGGGCCCCGAGACGCAGGAGAAGCGGGTCTTTGATCCCACACACACACACACACACACACACACACACACACACACACACACACACGCCTCCCATCATCCGAGGATCTGGATGAGGGAATATGCTGAGAGGGGGGCCTGCAGGGAACACAATCACATCTTCAAAGTGGCACACATGCGCAGACAGCAGGCACACAACTAGCGTCCTTCGACTTATATTATTCCAAACATTCAAAAGACATGTGCTGCGCACGCACGGATAGCAATTACTGCTTATGATCATTTTTCAAGTCCACTTCTCTCTATCTCACGTGTGTACTGGACAAAACAATACTGTGGTGTCATCTTTGCATAGAGCAAATTGTCTCTCCTTCATTGAAGCACATGCTTTCCAGCTTTTGTGCGCCCGACGCACAATAAAACCAACCAGCGAGCCACTTGTGAATTACGCAGTGAAATCTTTTTAAATGAACAGTTGTCGCAGCAATAATGTAACAGTGAAGCAGACGGGAGGAACAATGGGCGCCCGGATTACGGCGGCTCTGTCTCCCAACACATTAGAGCAGAGGAGATACGAGCTGCTGCTGTCAGAGCCGGAGTCATGTGACCTCATCCACCTTCACGCAAAACATGTAGTCTCCCGAAATGTGAACTCAACTTCTAGTTAATTGTTGCAGGATAGAAATACGATGTTACAAGCAGAGTGATACGGTGGATTCATCACAACACAAAATCTCTTTGGCAATTACTTTGTTTCTTGACAGAGTTTGAGTTGTTTTTGAGTGGCGGATGGAGAAAAACAACACGTATCTATAGTGCACCACGTGGGTGAGTGGGGAGCACGATCGTCCTCCAATCAGAGGGTTGTCGGTTCGATCCCAGGCTCTGCTAACCCGTATGTCGTTGTGCCCTTGGGCAAGACACTTAACCCAACACTGCTCCTGTAGCTGTGACTAC